ACGTCGACCCCCAGAGGTCTCGACCCATTCCCCGGGGCCAGCTTTGTCATCCTGCGCCGTCTTGTTCGACGGTCCCGCAGGCCGTTGAGGGCCCCCAGAGGCCGAAAATAGCGAAACACTCCCCGCCACGACTTTTCCACGACCCGCGGGGGTCCGGGGCCGACCCCGCCGCGGCGCCGCGGCGCCCGGCGGGCTCCGCCCGCCCCCTTCGGCCTGGCGTTGCCGCGCCGGGATCTCGTCCGCCTCCCCGCCCGGGCGGCTGCCCCGTGCGGCGGCCGCTCCTCTGCTGCGTCCACCGCGCCCCTGCTCGCCGCCGCCCGCTCGGCGGCGCTGCCCGGCCCCGCCGCCGCCGCCCCGCCGCCGGCGCCCGCGGCCCGCCGTGCCCCGCCACTGCCTCGTGAGGGCCCGTCGGGCGCGCGCGTCGGCGGTCCTTTTGGAGCGGCTTGTGGCTTGGCCCGGCCCGCGACCTTCAAAGTGTGTGTGTGTGTGTGTGTGTGCTCGCGTGTGCTCGCGTGTGTGTGTGTGTGTGTGTGTGTGTGCGTGCGTGCGTGCGTGCGTGCGTGCGTGCGTGCGTGCGTGCGTGCGTGCGCGCGTGCGTGCGCGCGCGTGTGTGTGTGTGTGTGTGTGTGTGTGTGTGTGCGCGTATTTGCATGTGTGTGTGTGCTCGTGGGTGCTTGTGTGTGCTCGTGTGTGTGTGTGTGTATGTGTGTTTGTGTGCATGTGTGCGTGTGTCTGATGTGTGTGTGTGTGTGTATGTGTGCGATGGTGAGAAAGGGGAGGGAGGCGGGCTGCCGGCAGACGCGGGTGCGATGCGGGTGGGAAGAAAGCCATAACCCGCTCAACATGTGGGGAACAGCCACATCATCATACACTTTCGAATGTCCGCACGGACTTCTTGGATCGGCGCTGGACCCTCCTGGCGGCGCGCCTCCAGTGCCGCCCCTGGCGCGCTCCGCGCGCCAGAGAGGAGGGTCCAGTGCCGACCGAAGACGCCGGCGCGGAGCTGCGCAAGTCTGTGCCTAGGCAGTTTTTGATATCCTTCTTCCTCCTACGCCCGCAGCGCGGATGATGTGCTCTTCTTTCCAGGGGTGCCCTTGCATCCTCGCATCTCTTGGCCCGTCCTCTGCCCACCAACCATCCCTTAGAGTTGAAACCCATGCCAAGAAACACCCTGCTTGACCCCAAGGTGGCCTGGGCTTCTTGGGTTTCGATACTTCGCTGTGGAAAGCGTGACGCTCCCGCACCAAAAGTCAATGGACATCCCGGGGTTTCAGGGCTGAGTTTCGGCTGGAAGGTTTCTTGTGGTCGAGTTCCAACTGTAAGCATTCTGGCAAGTTGGCCGCCCCAGGCCCTCAGGGCCTTGCGCCCTTACCTTGTGTGTGTGTGTGTGCACTGCCTGTACCTGCCTCCTCTCCTCGTCCGCTGCCCTCTCGGCCCAGGTGTTGGCACCGATCGAGTTATGAGCACCTCGTTCTTACCCCCCGAAGAATAAACATCAACCATCGCCGTCAGCCTACGGACCCTTGGGTTGGCTCTCTTCTCCTTCCCTTCCCTTCGCCCGCAGACGGGCTGACGGCGATGCAGGCAACGGCGATGTGGGTTCCGGTGGTGTGGGAACGCGTGGCTCGCGCTTTTGCTGCGATTCGCCGTGTCGTGCTCGCTCGACCCGTTCGCGGATGGGAATCGTAGGAACGCGTGGCTCGTGATCTCCTGCGATTCGGCTCCCGACGTCGCCGTTGAGCAACATCGCCGTCAGCCCGGCCCTGGCTCGCACCCCGCGCCCCCCCGCGACGCGGCTGCCGGGATCGACTATACGTAGGAGTGACCTTTCGCCGGAATGGCCCTTGGTGCGGGCACGGATGGGCCCCCAGATGGCTGAAAACGAAGCAGGGGCAGCGGCTTGCGCGCCCAGGTTTGGCCCCCCCGCGGCCCCCAAAAAGCCGCGCGCCAAAGGTCACTCTTACCCAGGGTCCCTCTTGCGTGTAGCCGACGGGCGCGCCCCCGCCTCGGAGCGGGGGACGCTCGGCGCCCGCAGCCCTCGGAGGGGGCTGGCCGCCGCCGCGGCCGACGAGAGGCCGCCGGCCGCAATACGATGTGCCAAGTAATCGAATTTGCCTCCGCTCCGCCCGCGCCCGCGGGACGGGCGACGCCCTTCGAGCTCGGGCGCGCCGGCGGCCCGCCATCACCGCTCCTCGGAGGATCGGGGCCTCCCGGGTTGGGGTCGCGCTGGGTGGGGTCGGGGGATCGCCCCGCATCGCCGACGCAGCGCGAATGCGGCTCGATGTGCAGCCCGGTTTGCTTCACGTCGACGTCGCCGATGTGTCGCCGACGTCGACGATGCATCGACGGTGCGGCGCGATCCTCCGACCCCATCTACTCCGACCCCAGCTAGGCGGCCTCTGTAAAGGAGGGCTTAGGGGTACCGATGCTGCGGCCCTTGCCTCGATTTCGCCTCTTTCGGGTGTTGCCAGAAGTGCCCCCGGCCCAAGGTGCCCCCAGGATCCCCCAGGAGGCCCCACAGGCGCCCAGAGCACCCCTCACGAGGCAAAGAGGGCCTCAGGTTTTTTTGGCATCGAGCGAGAAGCTGGGGGGCACCCTGGGCCAGGGACACCTCCAGCCCCCCCCCCGACATCTCAGGCCTCCCGGGCGGCCCTCGTCGCCCCGGCCCGGCTCGCCCCGAGGTCTTGGTCACGGCGCAGCCTGGGCGAGGCCTGGGGATCAGGAGGGGAAAAAACACACAGACACCATTAATCGTCGATTTCCCAGAAAGTATGGGAAGATATGGGAAGTGGGGGGGGAAGACGAAAACCCAGAAAATATGGGAAAATATGGGGAATATTTTTATTGTGTGTATTTATTTGTGTGTCCTGGGGCCCCTTCAGGGGAGTCGAGGCATCGGCACCTCTCGGCCCCCCCAGACTTTGGCCAGGTCCACATCCGGGGCCCGGGATCGGTGCACGCCCAGGTCCCCTGGCGGGGGCGCGAGGGTGGCCGCGCCTCGAGCGTCGCGGCCTGGGCCAGATGGGCTGCCTCTCTCCAAGAAGCAGGCGGGAATAGAACACACAGACACAGTGCGTTGCTGATTTCCAGGAGAGGATGCGAAGATCTGGGAAGTGGGGGGGAGGCAAGCGTCCAAGACATCTGGAAACATAGGAGGGAATCCTGTCATTTGTGCGGATTTGTCTGTGTGCCCCAGGGCCCCCTCGAGGACGGGCGGCGCGAGGGCGCGCAGACGCCCGAGCGGCGCGCGCCTCGCGGGGAGCGCTGCGCGCAGGGAGGCGGCCCGGCGGGCGCCCTCCCGGCCTGGCCGAGGGGGCGCGTGCGCCGGCCCGGGGGCTCGAAGTCGGGCCCGTCCCTCTGCAGGAGGACCAGTCAAAACCCGTAACAGAAACAGTCTGGGGACGACTTTTTTGGGGGCTATGTTTGATTCTTCGTGAGCATCTCCCAACCATCCTGTGGTGTCGGGTCCTCGTTTTTTGAAATAACGGTCCCCGCGTTCTCCTCCTCCTCCTCCTTCTCCTCCCTCCTCCATCACCATCACCATCACCATCACCATCACCATCACCATCACCATCACCATCATCATCATTCATCATCATCATCATCATCATCATCATCATCATCATCATCATCATCATCATCATCATCATCATCATCATCATCACCATCACCATCACCATCACCATCACCATCATCATCATCCATCATCATCATCATCATCATCATCATCATCATCATCATCAGCATCCATCATCTTCACCACCATCATCACCATCACCATCACCACACCATCACCATCACCATCACCATCATCCATCATCATCATCAAACATCATCATCATCATCATCATCATCATCATCCATCATCATCATCATCACCATCACCACATCACCATCCACCATCACCATCACCATCATCATCCATCATCATCATCATCATCATCATCATCATCATCATCATCATCATCATCATCATCATCATCATCACCCGTTTCAGCACACCACTCACACGTTTCGTGGCCCCATAGAGAGCCCCACCGAAGGTCCTAGTGCTACCGTCCGCATGCGTCCCGCACACCCAGTACAGCGTTTCGTGGCCCCATAGGGAGCCCCACCGAAGCCCCCAGTGGGACCGCCCGCATGCGCCCTTCACACCAAATTTTGCATTTTCACCCACCCAGTACAGCGTTTCGTGGCCCCATAGGGGGCTCCACCGAAGCCCCCAGTGGGACCGCCCGCATGCGTCCAACACACCCGCTTTGGCATCTTCACCCACCCAGTACAGCTTTTCGTGGCCCCACCTGAGCCCCCAGGTCGGACCACCCGCATTCGTCCCACACACACACACCCAATTTGGCGTTTTCACCCACTCAGTACAGCGTTTCGTGGCCCCGCAGGGAGCTCCACCGACGGCTCCAGTGCTACCGCCCTCATGCGCCCCCCCACCCAGTACAGCGCTTCGTGGCCCCATAGGGAGCTACATCGAAGAACGCCCCGGTGCTATCGCCCGCATGCGTCCCCCCCAGGCTCCATAGGGAATTCCACCGACGTCCTCAGTGCTACCGCCCGCATGCGTTCCCCCCCACCCTGTGCAGCGCTTCGTGGCCCCATAGGGAGCTTCACCGAAGACGATACTCACAATTGGGCACACACAACTGCATGTGGTTGGGTCCTTCACCAGGACAATTTTGACTACTTTTTAATATTTCGCCGAAATCCGCCTGTAGGGGGACATGCCCGACATAACCCTGGGCCCAGGATCGATCTGGCCTGGGCCGGGGAAGTGGACCGCGGGCGTCCTCCGAGCGGCGCGGCACCTAGCAACACACCAGTCGGGGTCGGCGCAAACCCGGGTCGGCCAGGGCCCTGTCGCGAAGCCAGGCAGGAGGAGGAGGAGGAGGAGGAGGAGGAGGAGGAGGAGGAGGGAGGAGGAGGAGGAGTAGGAGGAGGGAGGTGGGAGAGGAGGAGGAGGGGAGGAGGAGGATATGAGGAGGAGGAGGAGAGGAGGAAGAGGAGGAGGGAGGAGGAGAGGAGGAGGAGGAGGGAGGAGGAGGAGGAGGAGGAGGAGGAGGAGGAGGAGGAGGAGGAGGAGGAGGAGCGCAGCCCCCAAGCCCCAGGTCAGCGGAGGGCTGGGGGAGCCCGCCCCACGTGGCTCCCAAGCCTGGGTCCGCCGGAGGGGAGTGGCTGACCCCCGTTGGCGCGGACCCCCCCCTGCGTGAGCCCCGCCGATTTCTCCCTGGCCGCGACGAGGCCTCCCCGGGCGCCCCGTAATTCGGCGGAGGACATGTCCGTATCCACGGCCTCGCGGGCCGGGCCCCGGGGCCGCGACCCCGCGGAAACGGGGCGCCTCTTTCGCAGACGCCCCGCGCGGAACGTGTTCGTACGGCCGCGCATCCGCGGGATTTGCGCCCCAGAGTCCTTCGGCTACGCGTGAGAGTGGCCCTTCGCCAGAGTGACCTCTGGGTGCGGGCACACAGGGGCCCCGCCAGCACTGGCTGGTGCGCTCGGATTGCTTGGACTTGGCCTCTACACTGGCCCCCCTACAGCCGCGCACCCCAGACCCCCGACGTCGTGATTCTTTTACATGACCTGGACCCCCGGCGGTCTGGACCCGATCCCCGGGACCAGTTTTTCCTCCCGAGCCGTTTTCTGCCGGCCCCGAGGGCCGGTGAGGGCCGCCAGAGGCCGAGCATCGCGAAGCACCTCCCGTCCTGATTTTGTTCGTATAGCTCGAGAGGGGGGCCTAGGACCGACGGCCGCCGACGCCCAGGCCCGCTCCTGCGTGACGCTGGCTCCAGGCCGCGAGGGCGCGGCTGCGGACACGTTCGCCGCTCGCGAGGGCGAGCCCGGGCCGCTGGCCTCGTGGGCGCGAGGCGCCTTCTGGCGGCCTCGGCCCCGGCGCTCCAACGGGGGAGCTCCTCGCGCAGCGCGCGCGGCCCGCGCCCGCAGCCGCCCGCCCGCGGGACAGAAACGGGCGCGGCTCGGTGTTCCTCCTTGCCGTTCGGGGGCGCCCGCAGACTGTGCTTTATCCTCTGGCGCGCAGGCGCCCTCCTGCCAGTCGTCCAGTCAGTCTTCGCTCGGCGGGCACGGACCTTCACCCGGCCCCTTCCACGCCGTCGGAGGGTCGAGGAGAGATGCTTTTGGCCTCTCTTGGGCCTTTTGTGGGACGCCGTCGTGGCCACGGGTCAGCACACCTAGAGGAATTGGCCAGAACGACCCTGGAAGGGGTCTAGGATCCAGTCTTGAGCGGATTGTGGCCCGGGGGCCCTTCCCCCTCCCCCCAGCTCCTCCCTCCTTCCATCATCATCATCATCATCATCATCATCATCATCATCATCATCATCATCATCATCATCATCATCATCATCATCAGCATCAGCATCAGCATCAGCATCAGCATCAGCATCAGCATCAGCATCAGCATCAGCATCATCATCATCACCACCATCTCATCATCATCATTCTCATCAGCATCAGCATCATCATCATCATCATCATCACCATCATCAATCACCAGTAGTCCATCACCACCGCTACCATCACCATCAACATCATCATCATTATCAGCATCGTCATCATCGTCATCATCATCATTATCATCATCATCAAGATCATAACCATCATCATTTACATCCTCCGCATCAGCAGCAGCACCATCATCAGCACCAACGCCATCATCACCACTACAACCATCATCATCATCATCACCATCATCATCATCGTATTCATTATCACCGTCGTCAGCAGCATCATCATCACCACCATCATCATCAGCATCATCATCAGTATCATAAGCATAATCATAATATCAATCATACTCATAGCCACAACCATAATCATACTCATAATCATACTCATAATCGTAATCCTAATCAGACTCATGATCATAATCACACTCATGATCATGAGCACCATCATCATCATCATCATCATCATAATCATCATCATCGTTCTCATCATCATCATCATCATCATCATGATCATGATGATGATCATCATCATCATCATCATCATCACCACCACCACCATCATCATCATCATCATCATCATCATCATCATCATCATCATCATCATCATCATCATCATCATCATCATCATCATCATCATTATCATCATCATCATCATCATCATCATCGATATTATGATCGCCGTCATCATCGCTATTCTCGCCATCACCGTCACTATCACCATCACCGTTATCATAATCGCCGTTATCGTCACCATCGTCGCCACTCATCTTGGCACTTCGCTCACATGTTTCGTTGTCCTGTAAGGAGCTCCACCAAAGGCCCCAGTGGCGCAGTTCGCATGCGCCCCCCCACCCAGCACAGCGTTTCGTGGCCCCATAGGGAGCTCCACCGAAGGCCTCAGTGGCGGTGTTCGCATGCGTCTGCCCGCGCCCAGTGCAGCGTGTCGTGGCCCCATTGGGAGCTCTGCCGAAGGCCCCAGTGGCGGTGCTCGCATGCGCTTACCCCACTCAGTACGGCGTTTCGCGGTCCC